GCGACGCCAAAGCTTTGGACACACCGGGGATTGAACCCGGGGCCTTCCGCTTGCAAAGCGGACGCGCTACCACTGCGCTATGCGCCCGGATCATGAACTCGTCGATCGACAGCATTCAAACCGCTTTATTGCGTCATACGTGCGTGATTCGCTTATCAACGCGCTGCTACAGATCCTGGCAGTCGATTCCGACCTCCTGACTTTCAGATCCCGTGATTTGCCGACTATCAGAAGACTACCACGATCGGTTGCCCGCTGACGTCTAATCATCTGTTTGTTGTCGACATTCAGTAGAAAAGAACGGACATTGGTGTTATTCAGTCGAGCACACTTCACAGAATAGCAATCCACCCTTTGTTTTGCGGTCGAGTTGGTTCCAAGATCGGTCATCGATCAATGTCTTCCAACTTCCAGTCCTTGCGCTCAATATCGGCCGTGATGTCACCTCGCCTTATCAGAAGAAGCTACCATTCCGTTCTGTACTCCTAGGATACACCCGGGTTCAACAGTGCAAGATCGATACGTATCGCTATCAAGAAGTACGAGCATCTCGATACATTACCACCGTCTAGTTTGTCGACCGTTTTTTACATGACTCAAAACACGCACTTGGGACAATTCAATCAGCAAGAGAATCGCACCACGATACATTCTTGATATATTGACAGAAGAGGAAGTCAATTTGTGCTAATGAGATCTTTCACAATTGCACGCAGCACGTGCGACGCCAAAGCTTTGGACACACCGGGATTGAACCCGGGGCCTTCCTCTTGCAAAGCGGACGCGCTACCACTGCGCTATGCGCCCGGATTATGAATACGTCGATCGACAGCTTTCAAACCGCTTTATTGCGTCATACGTGCGTGATTCGCTTATCAACCCGCTGCTACAGATCCTGGCAGTCGATTCCGACCTCCTGACTTTCAGATCCCGTGATTTGCCGACTATCAGAAGACGACCACGATCGGTTGCCCGCTGACGTCTAATCATCTGTTTGTTGTCGACATTCAGTAGAGAAGAACGGACGTTGTTGTTATCCAGTGGAGCACACATCACATAATAGCAATCCACCCTTTGTTTTGCGGTCGAGTTGGCTCCAAGATCGGTCATCGATCAATGTCTTCCAACTTCCAGTCCTTGCGCTCAATATCGGCCGTGATGTCACCTCGCCTTATCAGAAGAAGCTACCATTCCGTTCTGTACTCCTAGGATACACCCGGGTTCAACAGTGCAAGATCGATACGTATCGCTATCAAGAAGTACGAGCATCTCGATACATTACCACCGTCTAGTTTGTCGACCGTTTTTTACATGACTCAAAACACGCACTTGGAACAATTCAATCAGCAAGAGAATCGCACCACGATACATTCTTGATATATTGACAGAAGAGGAAGTCAATTGGTTCTAATGAGATCTTTCACAATTGCACGCAGCACGTGCGACGCCAAAGCTTTGGACACACCGGGGATTGAACCCGGGGCCTTCCGCTTGCAAAGCGGACGCGCTACCACTGCGCTATGCGCCCGGATCATGAACACGTCGATCGACAGCTTTCACACCGCTCTATTGCGTCATACGTGCGTGATTCGCTTATCAACGCGCTGCTACAGATCCTGGCAGTCGATTCCGACCTCCTGACTTTCAGATCCCGTGATTTGCCGACTATCAGAAGACGACCACGATCGGTTGCCCGCTGACGTCTAATCATCTGTTTGTTGTCGACATTGAGTAGAGAAGAACGGACATTAGTGTTATCCAGTCGAGCACACATCACATAATAGCAATCCACCCTTTGTTTTGCGGTCGAGTTGGCTCCAAGATCGGTCATCGATCAATGTCTTCCAACTTCCAGTCCTTGCGCTCAATATCGGCCGTGATGTCACCTCGCCTTATCAGAAGAAGCTACCATTCCGTTCTGTACTCCTAGGATACACCCGGGTTCAACAGTGCAAGATCGATACGTATCGCTATCAAGAAGTACGAGCATCTCGATACATTACCACCGTCTAGTTTGTCGACCGTTTTTTACATGACTCAAAACACGCACTTGGAACAATTCAATCAGCAAGAGAATCGCACCACGATACATTCTTGATATATTGACAGAAGAGGAAGTCAATTGGTGCTAATGAGATCTTTCACAATTGCACGCAGCACGTGCGACGCCAAAGCTTTGGACACACCGGGGATTGAACCCGGGGCCTTCCGCTTGCAAAGCGGACGCGCTACCACTGCGCTATGCGCCCGGATCATGAACACGTCGATCGACAGCTTTCACACCGCTCTATTGCGTCATACGTGCGTGATTCGCTTATCAACGCGCTGCTACAGATCCTGGCAGTCGATTCCGACCTCCTGACTTTCAGATCCCGTGATTTGCCGACTATCAGAAGACGACCACGATCGGTTGCCCGCTGACGTCTAATCATCTGTTTGTTGTCGACATTCAGTAGAGAAGAACGGACATTGGTGTTATCCAGTCGAGCACACTTCACAGAATAGCAATCCACCCTTTGTTTTGCGGTCGAGTTGGCTCCAAGATCGGTCATCGATCAATGTCTTCCAACTTCCAGTCCTTGCGCTCAATATCGGCCGTGATGTCACCTCGCCTTATCAGAAGAAGCTACCATTCCGTTCTGTACTCCTAGGATACACCCGGGTTCAACAGTGCAAGATCGATACGTATCGCTATCAAGAAGTACGAGCATCTCGATACATTACCACCGTCTAGTTTGTCGACCGTTTTTTACATGACTCAAAACACGCACTTGGAACAATTCAATCAGCAAGAGAATCGCACCACGATACATTCTTGATATATTGACAGAAGAGGAAGTCAATTTGTGCTAATGAGATCTTTCACAATTGCACGCAGCACGTGCGACGCCAAAGCTTTGGACACACCGGGATTGAACCCGGGGCCTTCCTCTTGCAAAGCGGACGCGCTACCACTGCGCTATGCGCCCGGATTATGAATACGTCGATCGACAGCTTTCAAACCGCTTTATTGCGTCATACGTGCGTGATTCGCTTATCAACGCGCTGCTACAGATCCTGGCAGTCGATTCCGACCTCCTGACTTTCAGATCCCGTGATTTGCCGACTATCAGAAGACGACCACGATCGGTTGCCCGCTGACGTCTAATCATCTGTTTGTTGTCGACATTCAGTAGAGAAGAACGGACATTGGTGTTATCCAGTCGAGCACACATCACATAATAGCAATCCACCCTTTGTTTTGCGGTCGAGTTGGCTCCAAGATCGGTCATCGATCAATGTCTTCCAACTTCCAGTCCTTGCGCTCAATATCGGCCGTGATGTCACCTCGCCTTATCAGAAGAAGCTACCATTCCGTTCTGTACTCCTAGGATACACCCGGGTTCAACAGTGCAAGATCGATACGTATCGCTATCAAGAAGTACGAGCATCTCGATACATTACCACCGTCTAGTTTGTCGACCGTTTTTTACATGACTCAAAACACGCACTTGGAACAATTCAATCAGCAAGAGAATCGCACCACGATACATTCTTGATATATTGACAGAAGAGGAAGTCAATTTGTGCTAATGAGATCTTTCACAATTGCACGCAGCACGTGCGACGCCAAAGCTTTGGACACACCGGGATTGAACCCGGGGCCTTCCTCTTGCAAAGCGGACGCGCTACCACTGCGCTATGCGCCCGGATTATGAACACGTCGATCGACAGCTTTCACACCGCTCTATTGCGTCATACGTGCGTGATTCGCTTATCAACGCGCTGCTACAGATCCTGGCAGTCGATTCCGACCTCCTGACTTTCAGATCCCGTGATTTGCCGACTATCAGAAGACGACCACGATCGGTTGCCCGCTGACGTCTAATCATCTGTTTGTTGTCGACATTCAGTAGAGAAGAACGGACATTGGTGTTATCCAGTCGAGCACACATCACATAATAGCAATCCACCCTTTGTTTTGCGGTCGAGTTGGCTCCAAGATCGGTCATCGATCAATGTCTTCCAACTTCCAGTCCTTGCGCTCAATATCGGCCGTGATGTCACCTCGCCTTATCAGAAGAAGCTACCATTCCGTTCTGTACTCCTAGGATACACCCGGGTTCAACAGTGCAAGATCGATACGTATCGCTATCAAGAAGTACGAGCATCTCGATACATTACCACCGTCTAGTTTGTCGACCGTTTTTTACATGACTCAAAACACGCACTTGGAACAATTCAATCAGCAAGAGAATCGCACCACGATACATTCTTGATATATTGACAGAAGAGGAAGTCAATTTGTGCTAATGAGATCTTTCACAATTGCACGCAGCACGTGCGACGCCAAAGCTTTGGACACACCGGCAATTGAACCCGGGGCCTTCCGCTTGCAAAGCGGGCGCGCTACCACTGCGCTATGCGCCCGGATTATGAACACGTCGATCGACAGCTTTCACACCGCTCTATTGCGTCATACGTGCGTGATTCGCTTATCAACGCGCTGCTACAGATCCTGGCAGTCGATTCCGACCTCCTGACTTTCAGATCCCGTGATTTGCCGACTATCAGAAGACGACCACGATCGGTTGCCCGCTGACGTCTAATCATCTGTTTGTTGTCGACATTCAGTAGAGAAGAACGGACATTAGTGTTATCCAGTCGAGCACACATCACATAATAGCAATCCACCCTTTGTTTTGCGGTCGAGTTGGCTCCAAGATCGGTCATCGATCAATGTCTTCCAACTTCCAGTCCTTGCGCTCAATATCGGCCGTGATGTCACCTCGCCTTATCAGAAGAAGCTACCATTCCGTTCTGTACTCCTAGGATACACCCGGGTTCAACAGTGCAAGATCGATACGTATCGCTATCAAGAAGTACGAGCATCTCGATACATTACCACCGTCTAGTTTGTCGACCGTTTTTTACATGACTCAAAACACGCACTTGGAACAATTCAATCAGCAAGAGAATCGCACCACGATACATTCTTGATATATTGACAGAAGAGGAAGTCAATTTGTGCTAATGAGATCTTTCACAATTGCACGCAGCACGTGCGACGCCAAAGCTTTGGACACACCGGGATTGAACCCGGGGCCTTCCTCTTGCAAAGCGGACGCGCTACCACTGCGCTATGCGCCCGGATTATGAACACGTCGATCGACAGCTTTCACACCGCTCTATTGCGTCATACGTGCGTGATTCGCTTATCAACGCGCTGCTACAGATCCTGGCAGTCGATTCCGACCTCCTGACTTTCAGATCCCGTGATTTGCCGACTATCAGAAGACGACCACGATCGGTTGCCCGCTGACGTCTAATCATCTGTTTGTTGTCGACATTCAGTAGAGAAGAACGGACATTGGTGTTATCCAGTCGAGCACACATCACATAATAGCAATCCACCCTTTGTTTTGCGGTCGAGTTGGCTCCAAGATCGGTCATCGATCAATGTCTTCCAACTTCCAGTCCTTGCGCTCAATATCGGCCGTGATGTCACCTCGCCTTATCAGAAGAAGCTACCATTCCGTTCTGTACTCCTAGGATACACCCGGGTTCAACAGTGCAAGATCGATACGTATCGCTATCAAGAAGTACGAGCATCTCGATACATTACCACCGTCTAGTTTGTCGACCGTTTTTTACATGACTCAAAACACGCACTTGGAACAATTCAATCAGCAAGAGAATCGCACCACGATACATTCTTGATATATTGACAGAAGAGGAAGTCAATTTGTGCTAATGAGATCTTTCACAATTGCACGCAGCACGTGCGACGCCAAAGCTTTGGACACACCGGGGATTGAACCCGGGGCCTTCCTCTTGCAAAGCGGACGCGCTACCACTGCGCTATGCGCCCGGATTATGAACACGTCGATCGACAGCTTTCACACCGCTCTATTGCGTCATACGTGCGTGATTCGCTTATCAACGCGCTGCTACAGATCCTGGCAGTCGATTCCGACCTCCTGACTTTCAGATCCCGTGATTTGCCGACTATCAGAAGACGACCACGATCGGTTGCCCGCTGACGTCTAATCATCTGTTTGTTGTCGACATTCAGTAGAGAAGAACGGACATTGGTGTTATCCAGTCGAGCACACATCACATAATAGCAATCCACCCTTTGTTTTGCGGTCGAGTTGGCTCCAAGATCGGTCATCGATCAATGTCTTCCAACTTCCAGTCCTTGCGCTCAATATCGGCCGTGATGTCACCTCGCCTTATCAGAAGAAGCTACCATTCCGTTCTGTACTCCTAGGATACACCCGGGTTCAACAGTGCAAGATCGATACGTATCGCTATCAAGAAGTACGAGCATCTCGATACATTACCACCGTCTAGTTTGTCGACCGTTTTTTACATGACTCAAAACACGCACTTGGAACAATTCAATCAGCAAGAGAATCGCACCACGATACATTCTTGATATATTGACAGAAGAGGAAGTCAATTTGTGCTAATGAGATCTTTCACAATTGCACGCAGCACGTGCGACGCCAAAGCTTTGGACACACCGGGGATTGAACCCGGGGCCTTCCTCTTGCAAAGCGGACGCGCTACCACTGCGCTATGCGCCCGGATCATGAACACGTCGATCGACAGCTTTCACACCGCTCTATTGCGTCATACGTGCGTGATTCGCTTATCAACGCGCTGCTACAGATCCTGGCAGTCGATTCCGACCTCCTGACTTTCAGATCCCGTGATTTGCCGACTATCAGAAGACGACCACGATCGGTTGCCCGCTGACGTCTAATCATCTGTTTGTTGTCGACATTCAGTAGAGAAGAACGGACATTGGTGTTATCCAGTCGAGCACACATCACATAATAGCAATCCACCCTTTGTTTTGCGGTCGAGTTGGCTCCAAGATCGGTCATCGATCAATGTCTTCCAACTTCCAGTCCTTGCGCTCAATATCGGCCGTGATGTCACCTCGCCTTATCAGAAGAAGCTACCATTCCGTTCTGTACTCCTAGGATACACCCGGGTTCAACAGTGCAAGATCGATACGTATCGCTATCAAGAAGTACGAGCATCTCGATACATTACCACCGTCTAGTTTGTCGACCGTTTTTTACATGACTCAAAACACGCACTTGGAACAATTCAATCAGCAAGAGAATCGCACCACGATACATTCTTGATATATTGACAGAAGAGGAAGTCAATTTGTGCTAATGAGATCTTTCACAATTGCACGCAGCAGGTGCGACGCCAAAGCTTTGGACACACCGGCAATTGAACCCGGGGCCTTCCGCTTGCAAAGCGGACGCGCTACCACTGCGCTATGCGCCCGGATTATGAACACGTCGATCGACAGCTTTCACACCGCTCTATTGCGTCATACGTGCGTGATTCGCTTATCAACGCGCTGCTACAGATCCTGGCAGTCGATTCCGACCTCCTGACTTTCAGATCCCGTGATTTGCCGACTATCAGAAGACGACCACGATCGGTTGCCCGCTGACGTCTAATCATCTGTTTGTTGTCGACATTCAGTAGAAAAGAACGGACGTTGGTATTATCCAGTCGAGCACACATCACATAATAGCAATCCACCCTTTGTTTTGCGGTCGAGTTGGCTCCAAGATCGGTCATCGATCAATGTCTTCCAACTTCCAGTCCTTGCGCTCAATATCGGCCGTGATGTCACCTCGCCTTATCAGAAGAAGCTACCATTCCGTTCTGTACTCCTAGGATACACCCGGGTTCAACAGTGCAAGATCGATACGTATCGCTATCAAGAAGTACGAGCATCTCGATACATTACCACCGTCTAGTTTGTCGACCGTTTTTTACATGACTCAAAACACGCACTTGGAACAATTCAATCAGCAAGAGAATCGCACCACGATACATTCTTGATATATTGACAGAAGAGGAAGTCAATTTGTGCTAATGAGATCTTTCACAATTGCACGCAGCACGTGCGACGCCAAAGCTTTGGACACACCGGGATTGAACCCGGGGCCTTCCTCTTGCAAAGCGGACGCGCTACCACTGCGCTATGCGCCCGGATCATGAACACGTCGATCGACAGCTTTCACACCGCTCTATTGCGTCATACGTGCGTGATTCGCTTATCAACGCGCTGCTACAGATCCTGGCAGTCGATTCCGACCTCCTGACTTTCAGATCCCGTGATTTGCCGACTATCAGAAGACGACCACGATCGGTTGCCCGCTGACGTCTAATCATCTGTTTGTTGTCGACATTCAGTAGAGAAGAACGGACATTGGTGTTATCCAGTCGAGCACACATCACATAATAGCAATCCACCCTTTGTTTTGCGGTCGAGTTGGCTCCAAGATCGGTCATCGATCAATGTCTTCCAACTTCCAGTCCTTGCGCTCAATATCGGCCGTGATGTCACCTCGCCTTATCAGAAGAAGCTACCATTCCGTTCTGTACTCCTAGGATACACCCGGGTTCAACAGTGCAAGATCGATACGTATCGCTATCAAGAAGTACGAGCATCTCGATACATTACCACCGTCTAGTTTGTCGACCGTTTTTTACATGACTCAAAACACGCACTTGGAACAATTCAATCAGCAAGAGAATCGCACCACGATACATTCTTGATATATTGACAGAAGAGGAAGTCAATTGGTGCTAATGAGATCTTTCACAATTGCACGCAGCACGTGCGACGCCAAAGCTTTGGACACACCGGGGATTGAACCCGGGGCCTTCCGGACGCGCTACCACTGCGCTATGCGCCCGGATCATGAACACGTCGATCGACAGCTTTCACACCGCTCTATTGCGTCATACGTGCGTGATTCGCTTATCAACGCGCTGCTACAGATCCTGGCAGTCGATTCCGACCTCCTGACTTTCAGATCCCGTGATTTGCCGACTATCAGAAGACGACCACGATCGGTTGCCCGCTGACGTCTAATCATCTGTTTGTTGTCGACATTCAGTAGAGAAGAACGGACATTGGTGTTATCCAGTCGAGCACACATCACATAATAGCAATCCACCCTTTGTTTTGCGGTCGAGTTGGCTCCAAGATCGGTCATCGATCAATGTCTTCCAACTTCCAGTCCTTGCGCTCAATATCGGCCGTGATGTCACCTCGCCTTATCAGAAGAAGCTACCATTCCGTTCTGTACTCCTAGGATACACCCGGGTTCAACAGTGCAAGATCGATACGTATCGCTATCAAGAAGTACGAGCATCTCGATACATTACCACCGTCTAGTTTGTCGACCGTTTTTTACATGACTCAAAACACGCACTTGGAACAATTCAATCAGCAAGAGAATCGCACCACGATACATTCTTGATATATTGACAGAAGAGGAAGTCAATTTGTGCTAATGAGATCTTTCACAATTGCACGCAGCACGTGCGACGCCAAAGCTTTGGACACACCGGGATTGAACCCGGGGCCTTCCTCTTGCAAAGCGGACGCGCTACCACTGCGCTATGCGCCCGGATTATGAACACGTCGATCGACAGCTTTCACACCGCTCTATTGCGTCATACGTGCGTGATTCGCTTATCAACGCGCTGCTACAGATCCTGGCAGTCGATTCCGACCTCCTGACTTTCAGATCCCGTGATTTGCCGACTATCAGAAGACGACCACGATCGGTTGCCCGCTGACGTCTAATCATCTGTTTGTTGTCGACATTCAGTAGAGAAGAACGGACATTGGTGTTATCCAGTCGAGCACACATCACATAATAGCAATCCACCCTTTGTTTTGCGGTCGAGTTGGCTCCAAGATCGGTCATCGATCAATGTCTTCCAACTTCCAGTCCTTGCGCTCAATATCGGCCGTGATGTCACCTCGCCTTATCAGAAGAAGCTACCATTCCGTTCTGTACTCCTAGGATACACCCGGGTTCAACAGTGCAAGATCGATACGTATCGCTATCAAGAAGTACGAGCATCTCGATACATTACCACCGTCTAGTTTGTCGACCGTTTTTTACATGACTCAAAACACGCACTTGGAACAATTCAATCAGCAAGAGAATCGCACCACGATACATTCTTGATATATTGACAGAAGAGGAAGTCAATTGGTGCTAATGAGATCTTTCACAATTGCACGCAGCACGTGCGACGCCAAAGCTTTGGACACACCGGGATTGAACCCGGGGCCTTCCTCTTGCAAAGCGGACGCGCTACCACTGCGCTATGCGCCCGGATCATGAACACGTCGATCGACAGCTTTCACACCGCTCTATTGCGTCATACGTGCGTGATTCGCTTATCAACGCGCTGCTACAGATCCTGGCAGTCGATTCCGACCTCCTGACTTTCAGATCCCGTGATTTGCCGACTATCAGAAGACGACCACGATCGGTTGCCCGCTGACGTCTAATCATCTGTTTGTTGTCGACATTCAGTAGAGAAGAACGGACATTGGTGTTATCCAGTCGAGCACACATCACATAATAGCAATCCACCCTTTGTTTTGCGGTCGAGTTGGCTCCAAGATCGGTCATCGATCAATGTCTTCCAACTTCCAGTCCTTGCGCTCAATATCGGCCGTGATGTCACCTCGCCTTATCAGAAGAAGCTACCATTCCGTTCTGTACTCCTAGGATACACCCGGGTTCAACAGTGCAAGATCGATACGTATCGCTATCAAGAAGTACGAGCATCTCGATACATTACCACCGTCTAGTTTGTCGACCGTTTTTTACATGACTCAAAACACGCACTTGGAACAATTCAATCAGCAAGAGAATCGCACCACGATACATTCTTGATATATTGACAGAAGAGGAAGTCAATTTGTGCTAATGAGATCTTTCACAATTGCACGCAGCACGTGCGACGCCAAAGCTTTGGACACACCGGGAATTAACCCGGGGCCTTCCGCTTGCAAAGCGGACGCGCTACCACTGCGCTATGCGCCCGGATCATGAACACGTCGATCGACAGCTTTCACACCGCTCTATTGCGTCATACGTGCGTGATTCGCTTATCAACGCGCTGCTACAGATCCTGGCAGTCGATTCCGACCTCCTGACTTTCAGATCCCGTGATTTGCCGACTATCAGAAGACGACCACGATCGGTTGCCCGCTGACGTCTAATCATCTGTTTGTTGTCGACATTCAGTAGAGAAGAACGGACATTGGTGTTATCCAGTCGAGCACACATCACATAATAGCAATCCACCCTTTGTTTTGCGGTCGAGTTGGCTCCAAGATCGGTCATCGATCAATGTCTTCCAACTTCCAGTCCTTGCGCTCAATATCGGCCGTGATGTCACCTCGCCTTATCAGAAGAAGCTACCATTCCGTTCTGTACTCCTAGGATACACCCGGGTTCAACAGTGCAAGATCGATACGTATCGCTATCAAGAAGTACGAGCATCTCGATACATTACCACCGTCTAGTTTGTCGACCGTTTTTTACATGACTCAAAACACGCACTTGGAACAATTCAATCAGCAAGAGAATCGCACCACGATACATTCTTGATATATTGACAGAAGAGGAAGTCAATTTGTGCTAATGAGATCTTTCACAATTGCACGCAGCAGGTGCGACGCCAAAGCTTTGGACACACCGGGGATTGAACCCGGGGCCTTCCGCTTGCAAAGCGGACGCGCTACCACTGCGCTATGCGCCCGGATCATGAACACGTCGATCGACAGCTTTCACACCGCTCTATTGCGTCATACGTGCGTGATTCGCTTATCAACGCGCTGCTACAGATCCTGGCAGTCGATTCCGACCTCCTGACTTTCAGATCCCGTGATTTGCCGACTATCAGAAGACGACCACGATCGGTTGCCCGCTGACGTCTAATCATCTGTTTGTTGTCGACATTCAGTAGAGAAGAACGGACATTGGTGTTATCCAGTCGAGCACACATCACATAATAGCAATCCACCCTTTGTTTTGCGGTCGAGTTGGCTCCAAGATCGGTCATCGATCAATGTCTTCCAACTTCCAGTCCTTGCGCTCAATATCGGCCGTGATGTCACCTCGCCTTATCAGAAGAAGCTACCATTCCGTTCTGTACTCCTAGGATACACCCGGGTTCAACAGTGCAAGATCGATACGTATCGCTATCAAGAAGTACGAGCATCTCGATACATTACCACCGTCTAGTTTGTCGACCGTTTTTTACATGACTCAAAACACGCACTTGGAACAATTCAATCAGCAAGAGAATCGCACCACGATACATTCTTGATATATTGACAGAAGAGGAAGTCAATTTGTGCTAATGAGATCTTTCACAATTGCACGCAGCAGGTGCGACGCCAAAGCTTTGGACACACCGGGGATTGAACCCGGGGCCTTCCGCTTGCAAAGCGGACGCGCTACCACTGCGCTATGCGCCCGGATCATGAACACGTCGATCGACAGCTTTCACACCGCTCTATTGCGTCATACGTGCGTGATTCGCTTATCAACGCGCTGCTACAGATCCTGGCAGTCGATTCCGACCTCCTGACTTTCAGATCCCGTGATTTGCCGACTATCAGAAGACGACCACGATCGGTTGCCCGCTGACGTCTAATCATCTGTTTGTTGTCGACATTCAGTAGAGAAGAACGGACATTGGTGTTATCCAGTCGAGCACACATCACATAATAGCAATCCACCCTTTGTTTTGCGGTCGAGTTGGCTCCAAGATCGGTCATCGATCAATGTCTTCCAACTTCCAGTCCTTGCGCTCAATATCGGCCGTGATGTCACCTCGCCTTATCAGAAGAAGCTACCATTCCGTTCTGTACTCCTAGGATACACCCGGGTTCAACAGTGCAAGATCGATACGTATCGCTATCAAGAAGTACGAGCATCTCGATACATTACCACCGTCTAGTTTGTCGACCGTTTTTTACATGACTCAAAACACGCACTTGGAACAATTCAATCAGCAAGAGAATCGCACCACGATACATTCTTGATATATTGACAGAAGAGGAAGTCAATTTGTGCTAATGAGATCTTTCACAATTGCACGCAGCAGGTGCGACGCCAAAGCTTTGGACACACCGGGGATTGAACCCGGGGCCTTCCGCTTGCAAAGCGGACGCGCTACCACTGCGCTATGCGCCCGGATCATGAACACGTCGATCGACAGCTTTCACACCGCTCTATTGCGTCATACGTGCGTGATTCGCTTATCAACGCGCTGCTACAGATCCTGGCAGTCGATTCCGACCTCCTGACTTTCAGATCCCGTGATTTGCCGACTATCAGAAGACGACCACGATCGGTTGCCCGCTGACGTCTAATCATCTGTTTGTTGTCGACATTCAGTAGAGAAGAACGGACATTGGTGTTATCCAGTCGAGCACACATCACATAATAGCAATCCACCCTTTGTTTTGCGGTCGAGTTGGCTCCAAGATCGGTCATCGATCAATGTCTTCCAACTTCCAGTCCTTGCGCTCAATATCGGCCGTGATGTCACCTCGCCTTATCAGAAGAAGCTACCATTCCGTTCTGTACTCCTAGGATACACCCGGGTTCAACAGTGCAAGATCGATACGTATCGCTATCAAGAAGTACGAGCATCTCGATACATTACCACCGTCTAGTTTGTCGACCGTTTTTTTACATGACTCAAAACACGCACTTGGAACAATTCAATCAGCAAGAGAATCGCACCACGATACATTCTTGATATATTGACAGAAGAGGAAGTCAATTTGTGCTAATGAGATCTTTCACAATTGCACGCAGCAGGTGCGACGCCAAAGCTTTGGACACACCGGGGATTGAACCCGGGGCCTTCCGCTTGCAAAGCGGACGCGCTACCACTGCGCTATGCGCCCGGATCATGAACACGTCGATCGACAGCTTTCACACCGCTCTATTGCGTCATACGTGCGTGATTCGCTTATCAACGCGCTGCTACAGATCCTGGCAGTCGATTCCGACCTCCTGACTTTCAGATCCCGTGATTTGCCGACTATCAGAAGACGACCACGATCGGTTGCCCGCTGACGTCTAATCATCTGTTTGTTGTCGACATTCAGTAGAGAAGAACGGACATTGGTGTTATCCAGTCGAGCACACATCACATAATAGCAATCCACCCTTTGTTTTGCGGTCGAGTTGGCTCCAAGATCGGTCATCGATCAATGTCTTCCAACTTCCAGTCCTTGCGCTCAATATCGGCCGTGATGTCACCTCGCCTTATCAGAAGAAGCTACCATTCCGTTCTGTACTCCTAGGATACACCCGGGTTCAACAGTGCAAGATCGATACGTATCGCTATCAAGAAGTACGAGCATCTCGATACATTACCACCGTCTAGTTTGTCGACCGTTTTTTACATGACTCAAAACACGCACTTGGAACAATTCAATCAGCAAGAGAATCGCACCACGATACATTCTTGATATATTGACAGAAGAGGAAGTCAATTTGTGCTAATGAGATCTTTCACAATTGCACGCAGCAGGTGCGACGCCAAAGCTTTGGACACACCGGGGATTGAACCCGGGGCCTTCCGCTTGCAAAGCGGACGCGCTACCACTGCGCTATGCGCCCGGATCATGAACACGTCGATCGACAGCTTTCACACCGCTCTATTGCGTCATACGTGCGTGATTCGCTTATCAACGCGCTGCTACAGATCCTGGCAGTCGATTCCGACCTCCTGACCTTCAGATCCCGTGATTTGCCGACTATCAGAAGACGACCACGATCGGTTGCCCGCTGACGTCTAATCATCTGTTTGTTGTCGACATTCAGTAGAGAAGAACGGACATTGGTGTTATCCAGTCGAGCACACATCACATAATAGCAATCCACCCTTTGTTTTGCGGTCGAGTTGGCTCCAAGATCGGTCATCGATCAATGTCTTCCAACTTCCAGTCCTTGCGCTCAATATCGGCCGTGATGTCACCTCGCCTTATCAGAAGAAGCTACCATTCCGTTCTGTACTCCTAGGATACACCCGGGTTCAACAGTGCAAGATCGATACGTATCGCTATCAAGAAGTACGAGCATCTCGATACATTACCACCGTCTAGTTTGTCGACCGTTTTTTACATGACTCAAAACACGCACTTGGAACAATTCAATCAGCAAGAGAATCGCACCACGATACATTCTTGATATATTGACAGAAGAGGAAGTCAATTTGTGCTAATGAGATCTTTCACAATTGCACGCAGCAGGTGCGACGCCAAAGCTTTGGACACACCGGGGATTGAACCCGGGGCCTTCCGCTTGCAAAGCGGACGCGCTACCACTGCGCTATGCGCCCGGATCATGAACACGTCGATCGACAGCTTTCACACCGCTCTATTGCGTCATACGTGCGTGATTCGCTTATCAACGCGCTGCTACAGATCCTGGCAGTCGATTCCGACCTCCTGACTTTCAGATCCCGTGATTTGCCGACTATCAGAAGACGACCACGATCGGTTGCCCGCTGACGTCTAATCATCTGTTTGTTGTCGACATTCAGTAGAGAAGAACGGACATTGGTGTTATCCAGTCGAGCACACATCACATAATAGCAATCCACCCTTTGTTTTGCGGTCGAGTTGGCTCCAAGATCGGTCATCGATCAATGTCTTCCAACTTCCAGTCCTTGCGCTCAATATCGGCCGTGATGTCACCTCGCCTTATCAGAAGAAGCTACCATTCCGTTCTGTACTCCTAGGATACACCCGGGTTCAACAGTGCAAGATCGATACGTATCGCTATCAAGAAGTACGAGCATCTCGATACATTACCACCGTCTAGTTTGTCGACCGTTTTTTACATGACTCAAAACACGCACTTGGAACAATTCAATCAGCAAGAGAATCGCACCACGATACATTCTTGATATATTGACAGAAGAGGAAGTCAATTTGTGCTAATGAGATCTTTCACAATTGCACGCAGCAGGTGCGACGCCAAAGCTTTGGACACACCGGGGATTGAACCCGGGGCCTTCCGCTTGCAAAGCGGACGCGCTACCACTGCGCTATGCGCCCGGATCATGAACACGTCGATCGACAGCTTTCACACCGCTCTATTGCGTCATACGTGCGTGATTCGCTTATCAACGCGCTGCTACAGATCCTGGCAGTCGATTCCGACCTCCTGACCTTCAGATCCCGTGATTTGCCGACTATCAGAAGACGACCACGATCGGTTGCCCGCTGACGTCTAATCATCTGTTTGTTGTCGACATTCAGTAGAGAAGAACGGACATTGGTGTTATCCAGTCGAGCACACATCACATAATAGCAATCCACCCTTTGTTTTGCGGTCGAGTTGGCTCCAAGATCGGTCATCGATCAATGTCTTCCAACTTCCAGTCCTTGCGCTCAATATCGGCCGTGATGTCACCTCGCCTTATCAGAAGAAGCTACCATTCCGTTCTGTACTCCTAGGATACACCCGGGTTCAACAGTGCAAGATCGATACGTATCGCTATCAAGAAGTACGAGCATCTCGATACATTACCACCGTCTAGTTTGTCGACCGTTTTTTACATGACTCAAAACACGCACTTGGAACAATTCAATCAGCAAGAGAATCGCACCACGATACATTCTTGATATATTGACAGAAGAGGAAGTCAATTTGTGCTAATGAGATCTTTCACAATTGCACGCAGCAGGTGCGACGCCAAAGCTTTGGACACACCGGGGATTGAACCCGGGGCCTTCCGCTTGCAAAGCGGACGCGCTACCACTGCGCTATGCGCCCGGATCATGAACACGTCGATCGACAGCTTTCACACCGCTCTATTGCGTCATACGTGCGTGATTCGCTTATCAACGCGCTGCTACAGATCCTGGCAGTCGATTCCGACCTCCTGACTTTCAGATCCCGTGATTTGCCGACTATCAGAAGACGACCACGATCGGTTGCCCGCTGACGTCTAATCATCTGTTTGTTGTCGACATTCAGTAGAGAAGAACGGACATTGGTGTTATCCAGTCGAGCACACATCACATAATAGCAATCCACCCTTTGTTTTGCGGTCGAGTTGGCTCCAAGATCGGTCATCGATCAATGTCTTCCAACTTCCAGTCCTTGCGCTCAATATCGGCCGTGATGTCACCTCGCCTTATCAGAAGAAGCTACCATTCCGTTCTGTACTCCTAGGATACACCCGGGTTCAACAGTGCAAGATCGATACGTATCGCTATCAAGAAGTACGAGCATCTCGATACATTACCACCGTCTAGTTTGTCGACCGTTTTTTACATGACTCAAAACACGCACTTGGAACAATTCAATCAGCAAGAGAATCGCACCACGATACATTCTTGATATATTGACAGAAGAGGAAGTCAATTTGTGCTAATGAGATCTTTCACAATTGCACGCAGCAGGTGCGACGCCAAAGCTTTGGACACACCGGGGATTGAACCCGGGGCCTTCCGCTTGCAAAGCGGACGCGCTACCACTGCGCTATGCGCCCGGATCATGAACACGTCGATCGACAGCTTTCACACCGCTCTATTGCGTCATACGTGCGTGATTCGCTTATCAACGCGCTGCTACAGATCCTGGCAGTCGATTCCGACCTCCTGACCTTCAGATCCCGTGATTTGCCGACTATCAGAAGACGACCACGATCGGTTGCCCGCTGACGTCTAATCATCTGTTTGTTGTCGACATTCAGTAGAGAAGAACGGACATTGGTGTTATCCAGTCGAGCACACATCACATAATAGCAATCCACCCTTTGTTTTGCGGTCGAGTTGGCTCCAAGATCGGTCATCGATCAATGTCTTCCAACTTCCAGTCCTTGCGCTCAATATCGGCCGTGATGTCACCTCGCCTTATCAGAAGAAGCTACCATTCCGTTCTGTACTCCTAGGATACACCCGGGTTCAACAGTGCAAGATCGATACGTATCGCTATCAAGAAGTACGAGCATCTCGATACATTACCACCGTCTAGTTTGTCGACCGTTTTTTACATGACTCAAAACACGCACTTGGAACAATTCAATCAGCAAGAGAATCGCACCACGATACATTCTTGATATATTGACAGAAGAGGAAGTCAATTTGTGCTAATGAGATCTTTCACAATTGCACGCAGCAGGTGCGACGCCAAAGCTTTGGACACACCGGGGATTGAACCCGGGGCCTTCCGCTTGCAAAGCGGACGCGCTACCACTGCGCTATGCGCCCGGATCATGAACACGTCGATCGACAGCTTTCACACCGCTCTATTGCGTCATACGTGCGTGATTCGCTTATCAACGCGCTGCTACAGATCCTGGCAGTCGATTCCGACCTCCTGACCTTCAGATCCCGTGATTTGCCGACTATCAGAAGACGACCACGATCGGTTGCCCGCTGACGTCTAATCATCTGTTTGTTGTCGACATTCAGTAGAGAAGAACGGACATTGGTGTTATCCAGTCGAGCACACATCACATAATAGCAATCCACCCTTTGTTTTGCGGTCGAGTTGGCTCCAAGATCGGTCATCGATCAATGTCTTCCAACTTCCAGTCCTTGCGCTCAATATCGGCCGTGATGTCACCTCGCCTTATCAGAAGAAGCTACCATTCCGTTCTGTACTCCTAGGATACACCCGGGTTCAACAGTGCAAGATCGATACGTATCGCTATCAAGAAGTACGAGCATCTCGATACATTACCACCGTCTAGTTTGTCGACCGTTTTTTACATGACTCAAAACACGCACTTGGAACAATTCAATCAGCAAGAGAATCGCACCACGATACATTCTTGATATATTGACAGAAGAGGAAGTCAATTGGTGCTAATGAGATCTTTCACAATTGCACGCAGCAGGTGCGACGCCAAAGCTTTGGACACACCGGGGATTGAACCCGGGGCCTTCCGCTTGCAAAGCGGACGCGCTACCACTGCGCTATGCGCCCGGATCATGAACACGTCGATCGACAGCTTTCACACCGCTCTATTGCGTCATACGTGCGTGATTCGCTTATCAACGCGCTGCTACAGATCCTGGCAGTCGATTCCGACCTCCTGACTTTCAGATCCCGTGATTTGCCGACTATCAGAAGACGACCACGATCGGTTGCCCGCTGACGTCTAATCATCTGTTTGTTGTCGACATTCAGTAGAGAAGAACGGACATTGGTGTTATCCAGTCGAGCACACATCACATAATAGCAATCCACCCTTTGTTTTGCGGTCGAGTTGGCTCCAAGATCGGTCATCGATCAATGTCTTCCAACTTCCAGTCCTTGCGCTCAATATCGGCCGTGATGTCACCTCGCCTTATCAGAAGAAGCTACCATTCCGTTCTGTACTCCTAGGATACACCCGGGTTCAACAGTGCAAGATCGATACGTATCGCTATCAAGAAGTACGAGCATCTCGATACATTACCACCGTCTAGTTTGTCGACCGTTTTTTACATGACTCAAAACACGCACTTGGAACAATTCAATCAGCAAGAGAATCGCACCACGATACATTCTTGATATATTGACAGAAGAGGAAGTCAATTTGTGCTAATGAGATCTTTCACAATTGCACGCAGCAGGTGCGACGCCAAAGCTTTGGACACACCGGGGATTGAACCCGGGGCCTTCCGCTTGCAAAGCGGACGCGCTACCACTGCGCTATGCGCCCGGATCATGAACACGTCGATCGACAGCTTTCACACCGCTCTATTGCGTCATACGTGCGTGATTCGCTTATCAACGCGCTGCTACAGATCCTGGCAGTCGATTCCGACCTCCTGACCTTCAGATCCCGTGATTTGCCGACTATCAGAAGACGACCACGATCGGTTGCCCGCTGACGTCTAATCATCTGTTTGTTGTCGACATTCAGTAGAGAAGAACGGACATTGGTGTTATCCAGTCGAGCACACATCACATAATAGCAATCCACCCTTTGTTTTGCGGTCGAGTTGGCTCCAAGATCGGTCATCGATCAATGTCTTCCAACTTCCAGTCCTTGCGCTCAATATCGGCCGTGATGTCACCTCGCCTTATCAGAAGAAGCTACCATTCCGTTCTGTACTCCTAGGATACACCCGGGTTCAACAGTGCAAGATCGATACGTATCGCTATCAAGAAGTACGAGCATCTCGATACATTACCACCGTCTAGTTTGTCGACCGTTTTTTACATGACTCAAAACACGCACTTGGAACAATTCAATCAGCAAGAGAATCGCACCACGATACATTCTTGATATATTGACAGAAGAGGAAGTCAATTTGTGCTAATGAGATCTTTCACAATTGCACGCAGCAGGTGCGACGCCAAAGCTTTGGACACACCGGGAATTAACCCGGGGCCTTCCGCTTGCAAAGCGGACGCGCTACCACTGCGCTATGCGCCCGGATCATGAACACGTCGATCGACAGCTTTCACACCGCTCTATTGCGTCATACGTGCGTGATTCGCTTATCAACGCGCTGCTACAGATCCTGGCAGTCGATTCCGACCTCCTGACCTTCAGATCCCGTGATTTGCCGACTATCAGAAGACGACCACGATCGGTTGCCCGCTGACGTCTAATCATCTGTTTGTTGTCGACATTCAGTAGAGAAGAACGGACATTGGTGTTATCCAGTCGAGCACACATCACATAATAGCAATCCACCCTTTGTTTTGCGGTCGAGTTGGCTCCAAGATCGGTCATCGATCAATGTCTTCCAACTTCCAGTCCTTGCGCTCAATATCGGCCGTGATGTCACCTCGCCTTATCAGAAGAAGCTACCATTCCGTTCTGTACTCCTAGGATACACCCGGGTTCAACAGTGCAAGATCGATACGTATCGCTATCAAGAAGTACGAGCATCTCGATACATTACCACCGTCTAGTTTGTCGACCGTTTTTTACATGACTCAAAACACGCACTTGGAACAATTCAATCAGCAAGAGAATCGCACCACGATACATTCTTGATATATTGACAGAAGAGGAAGTCAATTTGTGCTAATGAGATCTTTCACAATTGCACGCAGCAGGTGCGACGCCAAAGCTTTGGACACACCGGGGATTGAACCCGGGGCCTTCCGCTTGCAAAGCGGACGCGCTACCACTGCGCTATGCGCCCGGATCATGAACACGTCGATCGACAGCTTTCACACCGCTCTATTGCGTCATACGTGCGTGATTCGCTTATCAACGCGCTGCTACAGATCCTGGCAGTCGATTCCGACCTCCTGACTTTCAGATCCCGTGATTTGCCGACTATCAGAAGACGACCACGATCGGTTGCCCGCTGACGTCTAATCATCTGTTTGTTGTCGACATTCAGTAGAGAAGAATGGACGTTGGTGTTATCCAGTCGAGCACACATCACATAATAGCAATCCACCCTTTGTTTTTTTTGCGGTCGAGTTGGCTCCAAGATCGGTCATCGATCAATGTCTTCCAACTTCCAGTCCTTGCGCTCAATATCGGCCGTGATGTCACCTCGCCTTATCAGAAGAAGCTACCATTCCGTTCTGTACTCCTAGGATACACCCGGGTTCAACAGTGCAAGATCGATACGTATCGCTATCAAGAAGTACGAGCATCTCGATACATTACCACCGTCTAGTTTGTCGACCGTTTTTTACATGACTCAAAACACGCACTTGGAACAATTCAATCAGCAAGAGAATCGCACCACGATACATTCTTGATATATTGACAGAAGAGGAAGTCAATTTGTGCTAATGAGATCTTTCACAATTGCACGCAGCAGGTGCGACGCCAAAGCTTTGGACACACCGGGGATTGAACCCGGGGCCTTCCGCTTGCAAAGCGGACGCGCTACCACTGCGCTATGCGCCCGGATCATGAACACGTCGATCGACAGCTTTCACACCGCTCTATTGCGTCATACGTGCGTGATTCGCTTATCAACGCGCTGCTACAGATCCTGGCAGTCGATTCCGACCTCCTGACCTTCAGATCCCGTGATTTGCCGACTATCAGAAGACGACCACGATCGGTTGCCCGCTGACGTCTAATCATCTGTTTGTTGTCGACATTCAGTAGAGAAGAACGGACATTGGTGTTATCCAGTCGAGCACACATCACATAATAGCAATCCACCCTTTGTTTTGCGGTCGAGTTGGCTCCAAGATCGGTCATCGATCAATGTCTTCCAACTTCCAGTCCTTGCGCTCAATATCGGCCGTGATGTCACCTCGCCTTATCAGAAGAAGCTACCATTCCGTTCTGTACTCCTAGGATACACCCGGGTTCAACAGTGCAAGATCGATACGTATCGCTATCAAGAAGTACGAGCATCTCGATACATTACCACCGTCTAGTTTGTCGACCGTTTTTTACATGACTCAAAACACGCACTTGGAACAATTCAATCAGCAAGAGAATCGCACCACGATACATTCTTGATATATTGACAGAAGAGGAAGTCAATTTGTGCTAATGAGATCTTTCACAATTGCACGCAGCAGGTGCGACGCCAAAGCTTTGGACACACCGGGGATTGAACCCGGGGCCTTCCGCTTGCAAAGCGGACGCGCTACCACTGCGCTATGCGCCCGGATCATGAACACGTCGATCGACAGCTTTCACACCGCTCTATTGCGTCATACGTGCGTGATTCGCTTATCAACGCGCTGCTACAGATCCTGGCAGTCGATTCCGACCTCCTGACCTTCAGATCCCGTGATTTGCCGACTATCAGAAGACGACCACGATCGGTTGCCCGCTGACGTCTAATCATCTGTTTGTTGTCGACATTCAGTAGAGAAGAACGGACATTGGTGTTATCCAGTCGAGCACACATCACATAATAGCAATCCACCCTTTGTTTTGCGGTCGAGTTGGCTCCAAGATCGGTCATCGATCAATGTCTTCCAACTTCCAGTCCTTGCGCTCAATATCGGCCGTGATGTCACCTCGCCTTATCAGAAGAAGCTACCATTCCGTTCTGTACTCCTAGGATACACCCGGGTTCAACAGTGCAAGATCGATACGTATCGCTATCAAGAAGTACGAGCATCTCGATACATTACCACCGTCTAGTTTGTCGACCGTTTTTTACATGACTCAAAACACGCACTTGGAACAATTCAATCAGCAAGAGAATCGCACCACGATACATTCTTGATATATTGACAGAAGAGGAAGTCAATTTGTGCTAATGAGATCTTTCACAATTGCACGCAGCAGGTGCGACGCCAAAGCTTTGGACACACCGGGGATTGAACCCGGGGCC